GATGGGAGTGAGGATTAAATGAGTGTTACTTCTAAGGTCAGTTTAGTGAAGGGAAACAGTAGCTTATGATCTAAAATTGGATTAAATTCTTTGAATTAACTTCAAAATAACTGAACTAAATATGCTGTAAAACTGTAAAAGACTTCATTTTTGCGCAAGACACATTTTTGCAAATTATGCAAGCCAGTAAGAATCATGTTATTTTGTAGCAGCGAAAATTTCTCTGAGGTTCTATGACAGTGACTTTCACAAAATTTTGTCTTTTGTGGATGCCATAAAATCAACAAATCGTAGAAATTTTGAGCAGCGGAAAATAAACGATTCATGGTAGTTAATGAAATTGTAAACTGTTTTGCTACTCGTATTTAGTCGGATTGCTGGAAATATTAAATAGATGAGAAAATTGGGTACTATGATGTTATTTCGAGAAAGCTGCGTAGCCGATGTCGATGCATTCCCATACTGCCTGTGTGCATACTTTGCAGTATTCTCGTGATAACCATATTATTAGACAACTTTCCCCTGCTTATAGTAATAATTGGATGAGAGATAACAACCAGAAATGGCAACAAAGAACGTTTCACTCTGTGCTAAATTTGTCTTCAGAGTAGGATTCTATTTCGCACTGTGCAAAGTTTGTGTGACTGGATTTTATTTTCATTGCATGCTCATTGCACTGTGTCTGAAATAAACAAAAGAAAGAGTTTAAATTTGATGTAAAAGTGACACACAATTTCCAAATAAGGAAGATTTTCTAACATTTTTGTAGCCCCGATTTTTGACAAACTTGGCTAATTCTGTCTTGTCTGCTTTTAATGGAAAAAAAATAAAAAATAAATGTTTTAGTGAAAAAAATGTGACAAGCAATCAGACTATTGATTATAAAAGTATTTGGAAACACAAAATAAAACACTGTAGTCATTCAGGCGGCTAACTTTCATTTCTAAGTGCACCATTTGTTCAATTCTCAAGCGTCAAAAATCAATATTCTTCACAATGGACAGCATTTCTTCGGAGTACCGATTTCTAAGACATGCACATCGATGAGGCCTCTTGGCACACCACACAAATTTGCTAAAAATTATGAATTATTAAAAGCAAAAAAAAATCATTATATTCAATATCTACATCACTTAGTTACATTCATGTACTTTGGTGAAGTACAATCATTTCACAATGATTTTTGTTAAATACCAAATGTGGGTAGATTAAAATAAATATTGTCAATTTTAGTCTATTCTGGTCACGATGTCTGCTTCTTCATTTGTTTTCATTTTTCAAAAGACCAGCTGAGTTCTAAAAATATCCCATTTATTTATTCACCTGTTTCTGACATCATCACAAGCAGCTTTCAAAGAATACTTCCTGTGCTTTCTGACATTCTTTCAATATCTGTGGTTCTAGAGGCTACCACTTTTTTCCTCTATTGCTAACAGCTTGTTTACCACTAGTGTGTGCTGTCACTGTTTGAAGGTCGATAATTCATCTGTGTAATTATCCTAGCTTTGCTGCCCCGCCCACTCAAACTGTTATAAGATCTCTAAGTTCCTTAAAAGGGATGTACTGATGAGGTCGACCTTTGACATTCCATTCATATATCGGCAGTGCCGTCACCACTAACTGCATTACTTGGCTGAGCACAGTGTTGTATACATCGCTGCCAGCACACACATGTCTATATTGCCTCTCAGGTGACCCAGGGTTTTTCTGTGTTTTGTGGATAAACCGTACTTAATAACTAGCGTATATGTTCGCAATTGCAATGGTTCGGAAAGAAAATTCCAGCTCTGGCAGCGACCGCGGTGGTAAAAAGAAGGGTCAGCGGATTATGGATCTAATGATCAGACTGGGTTTTGTAAGTATGGTCTTCTCAAACCAACATGTATTCCCCAGCTCTGTTCAGTGGTTTGCTATTAGAAATTTTTCTCTGTTCGCTGTTATTTCTGGTATTTTTTTCTGTGGTTCGGACAGACTGACTTTTAGATTTTTCGCTGGAGAAAAAATCTCCCAATTAAACACTTTTTGCATTTTGAGTGTATCCTAGTTTTATTATGGAGTCCAGCCATTCTATAGTTAACTTAGTAGGTGTAAGTGTAATGACTTGTCATATTGGTATTTTAAAGTTCCATAAAACAGAATGTGATACTATATGACTATGTTTATGATGTGGTTTAAAAACATAATGAATGAAGTTAATAACATTTATTACAATTTAGAAGTGAAATATTGTCTCATCTGCAGGTACATGTGATCCAACTTTTCCACTAAGTGAACCAAACAGTACTGTACTAAATGTACGTTTTTGAGTTTTAAATTCCCCTGACTTCCACTGTGTTATTTGTACTTGTGTATAATAACAGTTTATTTATGTATTGTATCTGCTTATGCACTCCTAATAAAGAAAATACGGTTCATGCAATTTAGACAACAAGGTGGACACACTTTTGTAATCACTAGGCTGCTCAACCTTATCCATATATCTTATCCTTGGATAATAACTTCTTAAATGGAAGCTTTAATTGAACGAAAACTTACTGAACTGATTCAATTGTCTTCATGCCTGACTGCTTTACAAGGCTGCTTCTTTTGATTTAATAGGTATCAGCTACAAGGCTTCATCGCCTCATAAACTTTAAAAACTTATCACAAAGAAAAAAAACACATCCTTTTTGAAATAGATAGGCTACATAAAATTATCTCTAATTGTAGTCTTGAACCTTGGAAGATTCTGATTAATTGGGGTCTTCTAAATTGAGGTCAGGTGTGACTTGAGGTCAGTGAGTGATTGAGTGGTTACGTACCCTTGGCTTATGTCATGAAAAGTTTTGCCTTCAGAGAGGTTACTTTGATTTGGAAAAACATGGCAATAAACGTCTTTGTTTCTAATGTCCTTGTTGTGGTTTCAAGTGTGTGACATGGTAGAACAAGGATTCTAGGATATCGGTGTGAGGTCTTGTTGGTTGTACCTCATGGTCAGGTACTGTGACCAACGGGTTCTTTTGGTTTGCCACTCCTATTATTATTATTACGTCATACTGAGAAATGAAACATGCATGATTAAAATTATTTGAATTTTGTGCTATTTTGTTTGTTTTTAATTTTTCAGTTTAATTATTCAAGTTCTACATTGATCTATCGTGTTTAGTGAGATTTACGAAATACAACATGTACATGTATGTGAAAACTTCTTTCGAGACCGATTTATTATCACATGTACACAAACACATTGCAGCCATTTGAATTCCAATACTGCATGCGGACGTAGCTTTATATTCCCACCCATATCGGTACTGGTCATACTGGTACATTGATACTTCATGAATACGGGGGCGGGCAGTGCCCCCACAGCCAAATTATTAGGCCACCCGCAACTGACCAGACATTTGATTACTCGAAATAATTTGAGGCAAATGACAATACCATGTGCATGTCCCTTTATAGTTTACCCGTTGGGAAACAACAGATTGCCAACACATGTTTACTACTAACAACCCCCCCTTTAATGCAGGTTCAAAGTCAATTTACACAGGCCTGATCTGTAAGATGTTTATTATATACATATTCTGACTGTTCTGTTCCTGCTGGACACTATCAACAGTGGATATTAAGTATACCCTACTGTACACGAATAACTCATGTACACACATTGGTTTTCAAGTGATACTATTTATAGAAGGTGTTCGTCACTGCTGGCAGATTTATAGTGATTTGTCTACCATTCCTACTTTAAGTGTGCTGCTGGCGTCTTATTGTACAATGTTTTTTCTATTTACATCTGCAGATGGTAGTTAAAACATGAGGGAGTTATTTTTACCTGGATTCTCATTCTGTTATGTCTTTTGGTTGTAACTCGAGTAAAATTCTGGAGAATTGTTTCTGCATTTTGTTTTGACTGAAATGTTGCGCTAATATCACTTTTCTATCACTTTTCAGATTTTCTTTACGCAACCTCAAGCATAAATCTGATTCAGCAAAAATAAAAAATGTACAAATACGTGTAATGGTACAATACACACAAATTTTATAACAGCATTTCGTCATGTCTTTGATGTTGGTATATTTCTGTGAAAACTGACACGTGCAAATAAATGAGGTTTCTAGGTAACATGATTTTGTATTTTATATATGTATGACTGGTTACGTTACAGGTTTTCAGACCCTCTGCTGATCATGTTATTCAAGTAATCAATAATAGGTTAGACTAGAATAGAGTGAAATAAGAGATGCATGACCTGACTTAATGTCAAATATTTCCGCAGTTTATAGAATCAAGTTATTTTCTGTCAAGAGCAGTCAGTGATGGACAAACACGTGTATAACAAGAAAATTGCGTAACTTCCAATTTGAAAGAGTTTGACCATCATTAAGGAGGGTGGGACTGAGGCTCAGGAAACATTAGAGGAAAACTGATCTTATAAGTTGAAAAAAATTTTTGCAGAAAATAAAATGGGGTTTTTACTTGTCAACTCCTTACGCTGGTAAATGATCAGACTCAATTCATCACAATTATTTTTCAGTACACATTGTGTTGGGTTCTGAACTACATGTACCTGGGCCATTACTGATCACAGCTTATCAGATTATAGATTGATTACATTTGCAAATTGCGTAGCTCTCTTTTAATCTCAATTCTTTATTGAGTTTTAAAAATCTTGTCCTGATATATTCTATCATCTCCAACTGGTAATAATACAATGACCAGTTTCTTTTATAATGCCAAACTTGCAGACTATAAACAGGACTATTTTTGTGAATTTGTGATGAAAAGAGGGAGCTGGTGGTTAAAAGGTTAAAAAAACTCGAGCACTTTCTCAGAAAACATCAACCAGCATTATTTTTAACAAGTAACAGTTTTCTTAATTGTTGCTGTGGCTATGTGTATGTGTCTTCCCATGAAAACACACGAAAAACAAGTTTTTACCAGATGAAGGTTTCAATTGTGGAATCAGGTTCTGGTACATATTATTAATCAATTGAACAAGTTTTGTTTTGTCTTCTAGGAGGAAGGGGACCACAATATGTCTGAAATTGAAGTTAAAGATGTCACACGAGAAGGATTAGAAAAAGCTGACCCATCACATTTTGAACTATTAAAAGTTCTCGGACAGGGATCATTTGGAAAGGTAAAGCAATGTTATTTACTCTTTTCATCAAAGCCAACACCCCTGTTATGGATTGAACGGTTTCTTACTCAAGTCATATTAGATTGGGTCAGTCTATTTTGTGGATGCATTGAGGGGTGGCAGGGGGGTCTTGTAAATCTGTTTCACTTTAATCGCAGCTATTTCCTGAAGCAGTCAGTGTTTATGGTAATTTACTGTAGTGATTTACATCACAATTTTTTTTCAAATTACCATTGTTAATTTTGGACTAGTCAGACAGAATCACAAATCTCGGGATTTTTGCTCACAAATTTCAATTATTTCATTCTCATTGGCCGGCAAAACTGATAAACAAGTAGTTTTTATTAATCCAAGTAATCACTTAGTAAATCTTCATTGCTTTCTTTGATATCCTTGGAATGACAATGAAATTTTTATGGGACTGCAAGACATGAACTTATCTGTTGCTTTTCATTCTTAATTGATTAATGAATGTACTAGTTATCACACAGTGTGAAGTATGTTATTGCTTACTGGTGTTAACTGCCAGGTGTATAAATAAGTTCATTGCATGGTAGTTAAGCTGACCTGATTAGACCGGAAATAACTCTGTTTTTGAGATAAGAAATCTATGATGCTAAGGGATAATACCATTTTATAATTCGGGGGTGGGGGATGAAAATAGCTATGATAACCACTATCTCATATCCTAAATATGGGTAATTAAAAAAAAATGTTCTGCTTCGTAAAATAAGAATATTAGGAATAAATTATCATGTCATAATTGTAGATAATAAAGGGGATTTTGCTCATTTACAGCAAAAATTTCTGATTTGGCAAAATTTTGCTCAATGTCTACATTGTACCTGTCCCCCTTCTCATTGATTGATTGGATTACTAGAATGATACTGATACATGTAGATTTCACACAAATCCAGGCATGCACGTGTGAATGTAAAACAGAAACACATCCACAGTGTAGAGCTGTCATTATCAAAGCCATCATTGTTGTATGTTGAACTTTCCCATTCAGGTTTACATCGCGACTTTTTATTACTTCGGAAGACTTTTTTGCCTCAGGGGAGGTAAGGTGCCCAATTGACCGATTGTAGCCACAATCAAATGCTTCAACGGAGAAAGTAAAAGCAATTATATTTCTGTGTGTTTATCTAATGAGAATAGGTTTACTCTGTGCAATGTTGACAATGGTTTTCTTACACTCTCATGGTTTGTGTAAGTAGTGATACTTCTCGCATAAAAGCACAGAAACCTCCTCCCCCCAAAGGATTTAAAGGAATCTGTTTTATTACTGCTCTTGATCGTGTTTTCACGAACTACTCAGTGATGCCAGTCCCTGAGGAATTATAAATCAGTATATAGATCTCGAAATATCAAAAGTAAACTCACTGAGAGATCATCTCCTCAGCTTGTTTTTGAAATTCCTACCGGGGTAATATAAATTTATTTTTAAACTCTCAGCTAGAATAAAGTATAGCAGTGTTCTTTTATATTGTTGTCAGCTAACTAGAAGAAGATGTTTGAGACTGTCATTTAATATTTGTCAGGATGATTTTACTGTGATGATACTCGTGGAGTGATATACTGGTCAGCATTCCGTACTCAATGATTTTGTAATGAACATAAAGATCACCCAAATTTATGTTGATTGTCCTGATGATGGGGCTGTATGATTGAACAGCTGGGGTCTAAGTTACACGCTGACCTTCCCACTGTCAGTTTTTCCAGTGTACCATATTACCCCGGGCACACGCCCAGCGGCCTGAACATACAAAATCGGGAAAAAATGGGGGTGGGCGCTTACCCGAGGACCACCCCAAAAAAGATTTTAAAAAGTTGTTTTTGTGATCGTATGATAAGGTCAAATAAAGGAATGCTTTCGTACACTTTGTACACGTACTTATTTCTTGATTTATGCGAGGTTTCAATAAACGTGAGCGCTCGGTCAAGA